ATTAATGGACCTAATAAATAAATGAGAGAGAGAGAGAAAGAGAGGGGGGCATGAGTAGGTTGGTTAGGGTTTAGGGAAAGAGAAGTAATGCTTACTTAATCAAGGATTGCAAATTGAGGTAAGTGATCTAAATCAAATCCAATTAGAAATTCAATTAGACTTTGGGTGAGTTTGGGACGACGTTGCTATTGCTTTGCTTTACAAAAAGTTATTAAATGATCGTTTGGGGGCATTGCGGCAGAACCCCGTTAGAAAAATTTCGCGGCACGTAGCTGCGTCGCGGGACCTTTCACTCTCTTCTGCGGTCCGCGTGCTTTCCGCTATTTTGAAGAGGGAAAATGACATAAATCCCCGCGCGACCTTCTTCTTACCGAGACACTGATCACGGCCCTGGACGACGATCTAAGGCGTATAGAGCGTGTCAAGGCGCATCGACTCGACGTAGGCTTTCTGCCGCACGGTCCAGGCGCTGGATCTGAAGGGATCATTCCAGTCGCGGTAGTCCCAATAATCGACGTGGAAGGCGAGTACTAGCATGGGGACGTCGACGATCTCCTCGTGGCCGAGCCGCGTGGTGATGTCTTCGGCCTCCGTCGAGGTTCCACAACCCTGGGAAGAGAACAGCTCGACAACGACTGGACCGGCACGGCGATGCTCCTCCATCGCCGAGTCGGCGGTCTTTTTTCTCTCACTCGACGAGGTGCCCCGATTGAAGCAGGCGAAGAGCTGCTGCACCATTCTTCGACAAGAAGCCGATTAAATCCGCTTCCGTTTCCCTCCCACTCTCTCCGCCCTCCCTGGTTTCTATTTCTAGCTGTGTTTCTATTTTGCTTCGCAGGAAGAGAGAAGAATTAGGGGTGGATATGAATAGAGTAGGTAGGCGGTGGGTGGAGAGGAGAAGAACATGGCAAGAGAAACAGAGTACTTGCTGGAAAGCGAGATGGCATATGGCCTTCTCTGGCCTTTCGACGGAGTCGGTGGCCGGAAGGCCGAGCAGGATGAAGAAGATCTGACACCTGTTGATGTGGACATGAACTTAGTGCAAAGCTTCCTTGATTCCTTCGCTTCTCAGACAGGTCTTCCAGGCCCTGCCTCAAACCTGCTTGGACTCATGGGCTTGGATGTTCCAGCTGACGAGAAAAATTTTTGATCTACTACTATGGTATCTTTCAAGTTATAATTTTTTTTAAATTATCAATTGTTGGTTTTTATTGATGGTTTCCCCTTAAAAAAAAAAACTCATCCATCTCGGTGGAATGATTTTCGGCACCGGTTCTAACGA